AACCTGCATGTCACCAAATCAGTGACCCCTGCAAACATTCGGCCCGTACACTTGAGACATTATCGACAACCAGAACAATGAACGGGATCTCTGTTCGCTTGACACACACACACACACACACACACACACACACACACACACACACTGCGCGTCTCCCAAAGGACGCTGGCAAACAGGACTCCTCTGGTTTGTCCCTCCAGGGTGTGTGCGCTCTTATGGTGGCAGGCTATAAAAAGGAAAGTGCAGTTGCAGACCGGATCTGGAAATACCTCCTCAGACTCTGTGGCCTGCGCGGTTCGCACCGCGACCCGGCTTTCACCATCACCGGCGCTGGAGGAAGCTCACCGGATGTGGACTCTCATGTGCTCATAGGTAGTTTTTTGTTATTCTTTTTAAAAAGGAGGTTGAAAATCAGATACCTGTTGTTCAGTCTAAGATCTCCGTTACTCTACGGCCCCACCAGCTAGCGCGTGCAGCGCACTGCTCTTGAGGCCACACAACAACGCCGTGTGAGTCACAGGCCCTGAGCCCGGATCAGAATAACGCGATGGAAACCCAGAATAGCCTCGCTGCTGAGTAATCTGTGTGTGGCCTCTTGGCAACGTGACAAACATGCGGAAGAAATCCAAAATGCACAACATCCATCCCCATCGCTCCCACTGAACGCCATTCAGCATTTAAAGGATGTAAACTGCTCCGCCTGCGCCCCAAACTGACACCCACAGAGCCTTTCATCTGACGAGAGGATTCCCAGCAGGCCCGAGAAACAAGTGGGGTAACAGGGAAGAGGATCAGGAACGAAAGGACTCACTGTTTTTAGATTCTTCCTCAAATAGACAACAGTGACTTTCCCAAACTGGGAATAAATCGCTTCAATGGGGAGAAGGGGGAGTCCCAATAACCTACTGGGAGGTTTGTACGTTTGTTGCATCATTGCGCTCAAGAGTCAGACAGGAGGGATTACAGAAAGGAGAATGGAAGACTGTGGGGAAATGATTGATTCCTTAGCTCCGTCATCACAGAGAGCTGACAGTAGAGAACACTCACACAATTTATCACACGCTAAATTAATTTTGTCAGCCGTTTCAACACTGTCCACGACACTGTCCTTCAGCTCAACAAGCTGCCTGCCGCGGGGGACACTTTCTGGACCATGTCCCCATTTTGAGTGAATTGTGTTGAAGACAACATAGTTATCGAAACAGAGAAGAAATGCACCACGCTTTGACCTCAAAGGACTTTTTCTTTTTTGAAAATACTTGTGGGCACATCTCGTTTGTATAGTTTGTTTTCTTGAAGGTGAGCCGCAGCTTTCAGCTGCAGGGTTGTGATCCAAAACTCGGCCGCCTGGTGCCGAGGAAAAGACAAGAGCCCCATCTGTGCATTTTCTAAAGATGTGACCACTGGGAAAGCATGACAGCAGGTGACGGTCAGCTGACCCCGGGTGAGGTCGCAGCTCCTCCAACGTAACCCGGAGGAAAAACCCCAGCAGAGAGAAACTGATGAGTCACACAATGCTTCCCGTCTCCGGCCTTTAGTTATAAGGAGGACAACATCTTAGCCCTTTGAGCCACGGCCGGCCGGCATCAAACACGAGACCCCCGACGGCGCTGGTGTCAGAGATAAACCCATTGAAGTCAACGAGTGATTAATAATTCACCTGGAGCCGCGTTATTTTTTCCGTTTCATGTGTTTGGCGTCTCATAATTTCACCTCGGCTGAGTCTCTCTAATGTTTATTGTTTTGAAGAATAACAATAGTCTTTAAATTGCCTTAATTATAATACTTTTTATAACAATGTACTTCTGATAATCATTTCAAACATTAATGTTCTAGATGGAGTTGTAGGGGGGGTTATTCATAATAATAATGTTTTGGGTTTGAAAGGGTGGTAAATTCTGAATTCAAATTTGTGGAACGAAATTAATTAAAAAAAAGACAAACACTATATTTAGTTCAATTCCAGTGTGGTTGTGACCCTGCTTACTTCCTGTGTCTGACTGTAGCTTGGAGACCCCCCCACCCGCCGAGGACCTGGACCCTGTGAAGTCCACTGTGCCCGTGTGTGGGAACCTCCCGAGGAAAGTGCTGCGGCCTCCGGCCAGCTGTCCCCCGCAGGCCGCCGGCAGCTCGCCGCTCTGCCTCCTCGGCCCGCACCGACGGGCTCTACTTTCCTCAGATAAAAATAGATAACGATGCTAACAGATGCACCAGCCGCTGCCTATCTGAGCTCGCACACGCACACACACACACACACACACATGTGCAAACGGCACGCATAAACTGTCACCTAGCCTTGACGTGATCGTTGACGTGAAAGAGATTAGCGGAGACAATGAGCAGCGCATTCTGAAAATGATGAAAAATACGAGGTTCTTTTTTTACGCTCGAATAGGATAAAAATAAAAAAATCAATTACCAAGTGTAAAGAGAGCCACTAATAAGCGGGTCATGGCACATTCAGGGCACCGCAGAAATAGTCAACTATATACAGAAGCGGGGCCTTGGCTCTGAGAACTGCAACTCCAGATTTGACTGAAATACCCGATGCCAGAGACGTGGAGGAGCTGTGAAACCCAAGAACACCCAAGTGGATCGTGAGACAATTTTAGATCACGAGTTGAATCACTTCTCTTCAGTCAAATAATAATCTGGTTTATCTTCCTCGCTGTTCTCATGACTCCTCTCGTCCTCCAGCAGGTGCAGGTTTCCCAAAAAAGGAGAGTGAGCGGGACTTACCGTTCGCAGGAACTGGATCTCCTCCTCTCCCTCTCCCCCTTCTGCCATCCTTCTCCGAGGGTTATTCGCAGCTCCTCGGGAGAAAAGACAAAATCCCTCTGTTCAGGATTTGGATGTGCTACGTCCCCTCCCTCTCGCGCTCAACGTTGCGCCTCTCTCCCTCCTTTCTGTTCCCTTCTCTCCCTCACACTCTCTCTCGGGGTGTGTGTGTGTGTGTGTGTGTGTGTGTGTGTGTGGGCGCGCTGGAGGACGGTCCTGTGCCTCTCACGATGTTGTGAGAGAGACTGAGGGGTTGGCGAGGACGTCCCCCGCTCCTCTCCGGACCTGCACCCCCCCACCCGCAGATCAGGGGAGGGGAGGGGAGGGGAGGAGGAAGGGGCAGAAACCTACACTTACACGGCACCTTACCCACCGTGCTGTAGAAGTGGGCTACTCCTTCACACAGGCTGACCCCCTCCAACACGCACACAAACACACACACACACACACGCACACACGCACACACGCACACACACACACGCACACACACCTCCCTCCACATGTCTGAGGCTATAAAAGGAAAGAGGGTGAAGTCTGGCCTTTTGGGAGTGTGCGGTAAGAACAGATGCACACACACACACACATGTCTTTTACTCTTCGAAGTGTAGGTCAGTTGCACATGCTTGTTACATGCTTGTTACATGCTTGCATGTTTGGATGGTTGAGAGATCTCCATCACCTTGCATCACTGAAACGTCATGATGTGTCTTCATCTCATGTTGCAGAGATGCATGATGGGTCGTTGTACGGAGCCGATTTAATATATTTTATCACTGTTATTAATTGGTTAAATACATTTCATGGGAACGAAAACCTGTTTTCAAATGATAAAATAGTTGTGACATTATATAAAACAATCAAAGATGAACTTTGTTAATCTGCTTCATCCGGACTGTGTGGATGAATCTGATTTGATGAATAAGTGACAATTTGAAGATTAAGTAGGTTTCACTGCCAAATACTTTAAACTCACTTTAAAACACGACTCGATGTGTTCATGAATCACACGTTATAAAACATAATACACAGCCTGCTTTAGGAGTGCTGCAGGAAGTCTGACGTGCTGGCTAAAAAGATTTTAAAAACAAATTGGAAATCTTTAAAAAGTTGAAAAACTTTTAAAAGGAAGAACCAGTGTTTGATTTGCTTGAAGCCATAAACGTGGTCAGTTTAAAATCCCAAATTGTTGTCCATCATTCCCTGTTAAAAGGTAAGAAACGCAGTCTTCGGCTGCAGTAGTCAGTCGTGTTTCACCTCCAGCTCAGCACATTCGGTGCAGTGGACGATCGCGATCTTGCAGTCTAATCAATAACAGGATGAGTCTCTCCGACATGACAGATCAGCCTTTCGATCAGCTCCGTGCTCTTTCACATTCACCCATCAAATGACAGATGATGTGCTTCGGCGTCAGAGCAGCAAAAAGCTGCTAATTCCAGATTTGGACATTTTACACCTTAACACACACACACACACACACACACACACACATGCACATCGATTAGGATGACACCGCTTAGCAATAGTCCTTGGAGAGCACAGGGTGCCAGAGATGCCACCTAGATGCCACCTTCGCTCCACATGAGCTGTGTCTGGGCAGCCCGCCTCTCTGAGGGAGACCGAGAGGCGGCACACCCCTCCTGCTGCCACCGCGAAAACCGCGACCATCGTCGCTGTAGACGAACGTCCACATCGCACACTCGCTCACGCACTCGCCCTCACCTCCTCAGTCCCCATGTGGCATCCTTCGGCATGCTCTCCCGTCCATCTCCCCCTCCTCCCCCCGCGACGGCCGCTGGCAGCGGACACGAAGGTGTTCCGGGGCGCCGGGGATCCAAGTCAGGTGCAGCCGGTGAAGCAGAGAGGAGAGCAGGAGGCGACGCGCCGCAGAAGCAGAACTGACGGGAATTCTGGGAGTGTGAGCCCTGATTCCAAATGTGACCCGCTGCTGTTGCCGGTTTCCTTCCCCCCCCTTTTTCGCCAACTCACGAACCGGCCTCTGTTTGGGCGCAGTGGCGGCGGCGCGCCTGCGGGGGGCGACATTGTCCCGAGAGTAGAACGTGCGCTGTGACCTCCGCTTGCGGCTGCAAAGTGAACACGAGTGGTACCCCAAAGAGTCACGGCACCATACCGAGCTAGCAACGGTAAGCCCGAGGCTGGTGCTCTTTTGCTTTTTTATTTTTATATCCATTATTTCAATTTTATTAAAACAAACGGAGGCGAACGTGACGCTGACGTTACGTTGAATTATTGACGGTAGCGCTGCGTGCCAACGACGACCCTAAATTAAAACATGTGTCCCATGAGACATCAGGTCAAAACATAAACTGATACGTTATGTACGTCAGTTCAATTTGCGGAACAACTCTCTCATGTCGCCTGTAATTTTACTTTCATTCGGCTTTTCGTCACCGTCGTTACACGTCAAACTAGTATTTCACAGACTTCCGTCTTTGCGAGTGTTGTCAAAATAAGAGACGTTGAACAAAGTGCACCAACTAAACACGTTGTCCTCACAACAAGAACACAGGGGGGAGGAGAGGGGTGCAAATGATAATGGTACTTTTCAGCATGTGTCAAATGTCTTTAGATTTAACAGCTGTGTTAAATGCAACTCTTCCTGTTTTACACAGCTGTTGCTTAATAGTACACTAAGATTACCCCACTGCCAGGAAGTATAGCTTTTTTGTTTTTCTTTGACGTCTTCCATCTTCCTTGTTTGAGTTCTTCTATCTGATGCAATTCCAAATGCATTTCTTGTCAGAGTTTTCGGCGTGGCGTGCGTAGACTGCAGGATTCCTGCCCGGTGCATCTTCCCCTGCCTTTGAATGCCATGTCACCCGCTCTCTCTGCCAGCCAGCCAGCTTCCTGCAGTGAAGAAGCCACCTCTGCAGACTTTGGGACATTAATGTCCCCTGTTTGGTCGCCTCTTCCTCTCGGTGCGTTAAGACAAGGATGCCTTTGAGTCTCCCCGTCCAGCTGCACCGCCTCATTCACAAGCGCGGACACTACCTCCCCTGTGTAATCGCTCGCTACCCTGAGAAATGAAGAAGAAGAAGAGGAAAACGAACAAAACAGGTTGATGGACGTGATTCAGGGGGACGCCGCACGAGGGGGGGAAATCGAGGAGGGGAACGCGTGTCAGGATTCAATAATGTTATCAGACATCTAATTCTCTCTTATCAGGAAGGAATTCTTTTGCCAGGTTCAGACAATGCCCCCGGAAAGACTGCAAGAGTAACGCCGAGGTGTGGCCTACTTTCTGCTTTTCTGTGTATCAACAGCTCTGAAAAAAAAGAACCGCAGATGTTGCTTCCTGGAGTACACTGATGGTGCTGAGATGATTGCTCATCACTAACTCCCTCTAAACTCTCCTCCTCCTTCCTCTATGGGCACTGCATTTGTGTTCACTAATCGCTCTCTCTCCCCTCCCCCTTGGGCACACACACACACACAAACGCACAAAAAGAGCACACACAGAAACTGATGCGAGTTCCCCTATCTGTCAGAGCCAGTTCCTCCATTTAAGATGCTGACTTGTTTATGTTAAAGGTGCAAGTGGCTGACTTTTCTTTGCTCTTGTACTCCACTTTGAAGCTTTTTTTGTTTTTCCTCTCAGCGTGTCCGCCTTGTTGCAGGCCGACTGAGCGTCAAGTCTGTGTTCTCGCTCATCTGTGCTGGACAGATACCTCCAGATAGAAGAGAGAGAGCAGGGGGGCGGGGGGGCGAGAGAGAGGGGGAGCTTGACTGACACGCAGCGGGTCGGTGAGCAGGTTTGTTTAGGCGCGGCGTGGAGTCTAGTCGATGACCGGCAGGTGGGCGGCCGTCGGCCCCGGCAGCGCTCCGTCCTGTGCCTGCTCTCGCAGCCCCGGGCACGGGAACACATAGAGGACACGGAGGAGCAGCAGGAGGAGGTGGAGGAGCCGGCTCGACCATGGAGCTGTAGGGGACACGCTCAGATGCCCGTTGGGATTACCAGGGGAGGAGGTGTGCCACTGAGGAGAAAAGCCCCGCAATGAACAAGACCAAGAGGTAATTAAAAAGAGGGTTGCGAACGAGCCGCGTGACAAGTATCTGTCTGAGTGTGTGTCAGCGGGCTTGTGTGCAGTGGACGTGTGAACTTTGAGGTTATGAGAGGCAGCAGTGCGGTTTGTCCAAAAAGGCTCTTGAGAAGTCGCAGAGGAACGAGTGCATTGTGTTCTATGAAACTAGACAGCGTGCCGCGGAGAAGGAGAGACACTCGGTGTGTGAAGGAAGGTTGGGGGTCACGGCTGATGTGTTGGACCTGTTTATCTGTGGAGAATATCCAACGGCCGGTGTGTGTACTGTACACACAGGTGTGCTCTGACAGTCAACAGTCGCTCACCTTTCTGTGGAAACGTGTTCTGCCTTTTTCTGTCCTGTCCCACTTATGTCAATTACATGTCTGTTCAGGGACGGGTTTTTTTTTTTTTTTTGGCGCTAGATCTTAGATACTGATGAGAAGCTAATAGCCTGCGTTTGCGGTTTGCTGCTGTAGTTTTGCCCGCACGCTCTTATCAGATTGCCTGGAATGAAAGGGTTGAGTGTCGAGTATTAAGGTAGTCAGATGCTCGCTTACCTGAGTTTAAGGTGGGGTGACGTAGCGGCCGCTTCCCCTTCAGCGGAGAGGTTATCTCACAGCTGTTGTATTTTTATAGTAATTGGCAACGGGGATTTCACAACAGCGAGTTTTAAGAAAGTCTCTCCACGCAGTCAGCACAACAGAAGCCGGTGTGGACTAAACTGAGAACCGTGCACGCGGTTTTCTCACACAAAAACACGAACGAAAAGCTCCATTTTGCACGTGTTTACATACTGCCGAAAAACCCGTTGAATGCACATTCAAATCTGCACGTGAACCAACAGCCAGCGTGCTTCGGCCCAACTCTCCATTCCTCATTTCCATAGAGGAATTCTTTTCCTCACCGTGATGGAAAGTTGATTATTCACCAGCGCCACAGTATGGGGATGTCCTCGCCGGACGTCTGCACATCATCTGCTTGAAATACTCTTTCCGAGATGTTGTGACAAAGAGGACGTGAGAAACGGATGAGAACAGGTTGCACAACATCATTTCTATATCTGTGGTGATCGTCTATTCAGGCCATATAGCTCGTTTTACATTGCCGGGAACAGCTTTGCTTCTTTTTGTGCAGATGCATTTTTTTATCAGAAATGAAGATGAAAAATGACCTTTTTGTAGCAATTGAATCTCAGTTCTCGCTAGGTTTAGGTTAAGGTTGGAACAATGGACGCCGTCAGAAGTTGCACAGGTAGAAATTCCTCGTCTCACTGATTGGAGGCCTCGGTGGCGGTTTATACGTCATGGGCGTTTGTTCCCAACCACAGTGCTTAGTACAGTGGCTTTATTATGCAACTAGAGAGAGAGAGAGAGAGAGAGAGAGAAAAGGCCTTCAAAAGGCCCTAGCTTCAATTAATCAATTAAGGAAAGAAAGACAGGAATTTGCATACCCCCTCGCCAGTGTGAGAGCGAGCGAGGGAGAAGGGCGGAGAATCTGTAGCCAGGAGTCTTGACACGAATGGGAAAGGGGAGTGGGGGGGATTTGGGGAAGTTGTTTCCCAAATGGTTTGAATAGAGCAAGGATGAAGGAAGGGGGGGAAACAGTGGGTGAGTCAGGGATATGATGGGCCCACACTCAAGTTCAATGGGACTCAAGAGAAGAAAGAGCCAGCTCAGGGTTTCCTCCTCATTGTCATGGAGGATTTCCCCTTTCCGCTGTGCAGCGTCAGAGGCGTTGTGTTTCCATGGACGAACATTAAGCAAATGATAATTGCCAAGCGGTAAGTGGTGGGAGTCTGGCGCACGCTGGCGGTATTTACTAACAGCTCTCTTGCCTCTTAAGCCGCCCGAGCTCGTGACGCAGAAGCCGGTAGAGCAGCGACCTGCTCGGCACTCTGGGGGGAAATTCCCAGACAGACGCCGTGACATCAGTGACACTTCCCCGTCAGCGCTGTTGGTAGTAGCGCTTCGACTGACACGTTCCCCCTGAGTCAAAGGGAGAGACGACAGGTCGTAAAGGGCACTGCGATAAGAGCGCTGCCGATGGGCGCGGGATGTACTGCGATGAGTCGTTTCAGTTCTGCACATGTGAATAAACGACGGTATTCGTGCATGCTTTTGTCCATCACAGATGGAAAGTTCTGAATCGGTTGCAGCTTCTTACTTTTTAGGTGATTGTAAATACTTTTGGGTTTTGGACTGAAGAAACAAACAGATGTATGACTTCACCGGGAGCTCTGGGGACAAACCTATAGGTAGGCTAGTGTGTTTAATCAATTTATCATGAATTGAAAAAGTACGGTCATATATTCACTAATGTCAAAGGTCAAGTTGAGGCAGCCAATGGCCTATTAGATAATCCGACTGGGTTGAGTTTGTTAAGTCATTCTAAACACTTTCACAAATATTGTTCAGTTGAAGGAGATGAATATATTGATCACAATGAATGTCAGTACTGCACTTTGATGACGTCAATACAAAATAAAAAAATAAAAACAGTTTTGATCCTGTTGCCAGTGCAGATTGTTGCTGTCAGCAGGTACTCCCCTGAGGCCTTTTTAAAGGTCATACTTGCTCACTGACACGTTTAAAATCAAGAAATGACGTGTTCAGTCATATATTATGCTACAATTGGTCCGCAGGTGGGATTTTTGAAATGGCGACGTTTTGAAATACAAAAGGCCTGACTTTATTTCGGATTCCTGTCTCATGCAAATTGGGTTCAAAGCAGGAAATGTGTTCAGAGTTTTAGTGACTTGAACTGAGGTTTCTGCTCAGTGTCAATAATGGTGCTTTAAATGTCTGAATGTCTGAATGTCTGAATTTGAACTTTTTTTGTAACTAAGAATCAGTTTTAAGGAGCTTCGGAAAAGCATTTTTGAATTGTTTACTTTTTGAGGTGGTTGATTCCCTCCGGGGCGACACGGTGGCGTGGTGGTTAGCTGTCGCCTCACAGCAAGAAGGTCCTGGACTCCACCCAGAGGCCTTTCTGTGTGGAGTCTGCACGTTCTCCCCGCGTCTGCGTGGGTTCTCTCCGGGTTCCTCCCACAGTCCAAAGACATGCTCTGGGGATCAGGTTGATTGGGGACTCTAAATTGCCCGTAGGTGTGTGAATGTGAGTGTGAATGGTTGTGTGTCTCTGTGTTTAGCCCTGGCGACCAACCCAAGGTGTAGCCCGTCCATTGCCCGAAGTTGACCCTGTGTGCAGGATAAGCGTTTTGCAGATGGATGGATGATTCCCTCAACTAACAGAAGAGTCAAGTGGAGACAATAGCATTCCCACAGCCCCAAAAAAACAGACACTTCTGACCCTTCAACCCTTAAATCAAAGACTCAATCACTAAGCATGAGATTCAAGTAGCATGTGGCTGAGGAATAGATCAAATGAACCCTTTCACCTTCGTGTGTCATCAGACTCGCCTATCCTCGCTGCATAATAGCTCACATGGTCCATGATGGTGATGTTTAGTGTTTTGAAGTCAGTAGCCAGCTCATGCAATGAGGCGAAGAGGACATGGAGGAGAGGGGGAGGACGAGGAGAAGATGAGAGGAAGAGGAGAGGGGAGGTGGAGCTCTGTTGCTCAGCAGGTTTCCAAACCAGCCGCCTCGGCGCTGAACCATCGGGATTTAAAGAGATGGGATTTTGTCAATGAGAAAAAAAATAGGAAAACAACAAGGCCGAAGGAAGGCGGCGGCGTTTGTGTTGTGATGACTGTGAGAAGCTCGTCCTGGGCGACTGTGGGTGAGTGGGGAGCACGGCCGTCCTCCAATCAGAGGGTTGGCGGTTCGACCCCAGCTCCTGCTAACCAGCATGTCCATGTGTCCTTGAGCAAGACCCTTTACATTCACACACTGTAGCTGCGACTACAGTGTGTGAATGTTAGTTAATGACGGACAGGTGTGTATGGTAGCTCCTGTCATCAGTGTATGAATGGGTGTTAATGGCTGAATTAACATGAACTGTTCTGTAAAGTGACTTTGAGCAGTGGGAACAGCTCTATATAAATTAAATGCATTATTATTATCATTGAGTGGAGTGTACCGGCAGCAGAGCAGCTCAAGGTGCAAATAGATGCATTATGTGCATTTGTGTGTTGAGTGGGCCGGGAGGGGATTAACCACTTTCACCCCACACAAGCAAACAAAAGAGACGAAGACGCAGGTCTGGTCATTCAGGGAACTTGTTGGCAGTTCTCTGAAGTCAAAGTGTTTCCTGGTAGACAGCAGGCCGCAGTTTCTCAACGTTACAAGATACGAGCACATGAGAACAACATTGAACGTTTCACGACACGCACACACACACACGCGCACACACACACACACACACGCGCGATGTTCAGGTTTCACATCAACTTTGGTCTGACCTGCGTTCTTTCCAAATGTGGCAGCGGGCTTCTGTTTGAAACCTTTGGCCTCAAGTCTCAAACTGCAAAACCGACGCATGCAGCGTGAAAAGGGTCGGTTGCCGATTGTTACGAGATGCAGACAGACTTTGCTAAACTAAGAGGAAGCATTAGCATCATGAAACAAAGCAGTCTTACTTGCATTTTTGAGGGAAGTTTAAAGAAGCTCAACAGATCCTCATTGGCTGAAAGTCATGTTTCTTTCTCACCTCCCTTGGCATCGATTCAGTATGTATTTGTTTGCCTCACTGTAAATCTCATCGCAGCGGCCGATACCCTCTTCGGCCTCTCGTGCGAGCACATGGAGGCGCTCAAAGCAACTGGTGTTGTGAGGAAACGCTGGAGATAACCAGCGTTGGTGTAGTTGTTGACCTCAGGTTTGTGTTGGGACCAAACGCAAACAGAACTTTCTTACCAGCAAGTGAAACTGCCGGCAGCAGGGCCCCTGTTACTCCTTTCCGCTGCAGTTGTGTGCAGCCGTTTTTGCAGCCGTTTCGCCAGTGCGCGATGGCTGAGGCCGCTGCAGCGCTGCAGAACCGCTCATCAGATGTGTGCGTTTGCTCCGATGCTGCTGACCTGCACTACTTCACAATGCTCTGCTCTACTCATTACTAGGCTACTTATGCTCCCTGCCTGTGTCTGTGCCCCTCTCTCTCCCTCTCAGGAAGCCCAATGGGGAGGGCAGGAAGCTGGTCCAGCGGAGGAGGAACACATGTCCCAGTCCTCAGGACATCACGCGGGCCCTGCAGAGCCCCAGCTCGGCCCCCAGCGCCAGCGCCGCCAGCCTGGACGAGCTCATACAGCGCTGCCTGAACTGCTTCGGTCAGTCTCTGTCCCAGCGTGTTTGAATGTTCCCAAAGTTTGTCATGTGCCTTCTACCCTTTATCACAGCCAGGTTATATAAATGAGGGGTGAGGGAGAGTGTGTGTGTGTGTGTGTGTGTGTGTGTGTGTGTGTGTGGGTGGGGGGGGGGGGATCCAGGGCGAGAGAGCCTGACATGGAGGGAGGGACACAAAGGGAAGTCTCATACAATCAAGCTTTGTTTAGTTGGGCTGCAGGGGCCAACCAGCTATTCCCATGCAAACTAAACACATCTTTCTCTCCGCTCCGCTTCTCTTTCCTCGGACCCCCTCTCTTCATCTGTCAGGTCATCCAAATCACAAAGAAAGAGAAACATTCAGATGCCCTCAGTGGTGTCTCGCATGTTTTATTTGCAGAGAAATACGATCAGATTAAATCAAACAAGAACTGAATAAAAGAAAGTGATGCCAACAACGTTAAGACAGTGACTGACACTTGGTTTCGCTCTTTATGTCCCATTGGGGTATAATGTATGATGAAAAGGTTTTTTGCATACCAAGTAAATAAGACACATTTGTCTAGACTTTTCTTTATTTGTCATGTATGTATCTCATACAGTAGGCGACAGGCAGGGAAAACAACCGCGGCACGTTGTCATTTCATCACACTGTTAACACAGACACGCACACCTGCAGGTCACTTTTAATGGAATAAGTCCCGCCCACCTCAGCTGCATTGTCCGAAAAACACTTGCGGAAATAGAAGCCACGTCAAACAGAACAAAGGGTCTGAGAAGTGAACTGAAATGAACTGGACTGATCCGCTCGGCCTGAGCCGGCAGTGTTTGTTGTTGTTGTTGTTGTTTGTTTTCCTACCGGCTTCATCCTGTGCTGCTGTGCTTTTGGTTGCAGACTCGGAAGGGAAACTCTTCACCCCCAAAGGGACCCGGCTGGTCCAGATGACCCTGATGATGCACAGTTGGGTCGTGCCGTCTCAGATGTTTGCTCAGAAACTTCTCGCCCTATATCCTCCACTGTCGCTCAGTAGCCCCCCACCCCCGTTCCCCCGTTCCCCCGGTGCCCTGCTCCCAATCACATGTGCGCTCTCATTAATCAGATCAGGGAACAGGCATGGCTTTGTTTTGTCGCTGCATTGCCCTGCTGCTGGTGTTTAGAGTAACGCGGTGCCGCATCTGCACACCTTTGCTTCTGTGTTTGGATCCTTGACCCCGTTCCTCACTTACAAGGACTGTCCCTCGGACAAGAGGGGGCCAAAGCGGACGCAGATCTGCCAGCTTATCAGGTGAGTCGAAGGCCCGAGGGCACGCGAGCGCCGGGTAACGACCGGGACGGACGCTGCGGGTGCTCGCGTCAATCTGCGGGCTAGTGAGCGTGTTGTTCTGTGTGTCCCGCTCGGTGGGAAGGCAGTGGATCAGCCAGTTCCCGGCGGTGTTCGAGGCAGACCCCCTCCTGGAGCAGACCATGGGGGACCTGTGGGCGCTGGTCCGCTCAGACGGAGAGGAGACGCAGCTCATCGACACCTCCTGCTTGTGAGCCATGTTTTGCACTTGCGCCGCCGGGCCCCGGAGGGATTGCACTTTGCTTCTTTGGCCGCAACTCAAACGAGTGATTCCATGAATAGAAAATAGAGCTGTTTTGTTCTAAAAGTAGAGAAAAAAAGGTCTATTTTTGTCCTGTTTTTTTTTTCTTTTTCCTAGAGGCCCTCATGGGAACATATTCCAGGCACCCTCGCCCTCTGTGAAGAAGAGGAAGGTGTCTTTGATCTTCGACCACATGGAGCCAGATGAGATGGCCGAGCACCTCAGCTACCTGGAGTTCAAGAACTTCTGTAACGTTTCAGTGAGTTTAGAAAACAACTCCTTACTGATCACTTTGCCTTTGTTGCTGGAAGGTGCAGAATCCATATTTAGACCAATAATGTAGCAACAAACCACTATGTAAAGAGACAGTGGAGGAGTGTCTACCTGAGCAGGGAATGAAGTCAGGTGACTGCATGAAGAATAAATAGCACTCTTATCCGGCCCAACAAACACCATATTCATGCAAACAAGTCACATGGACATAATAATCAATGTGACATCGTTTAAAGACAACACATTCCATTGGCTTTAGTATGACATAATAATGATAATATGTATACATACACATCTGCTATCAAGGCCTCGACTCAAACCCTGTATAATCTACAAATGTTGTTTCCTGTCTGACCGCTCAGTTCCTGGACTACCGGAGCTACGTGGTGCGAGGCTCGGTGAGGGACAACCCGGCCCTGGAGCGCTCGGTCATGATGTGTAATGGAGTCTCCCAGTGGGTGCAGCTGATGATCCTCAGCAGACACACGGCCCAGCAGAGAGCCCAGGTCTTCACTAAGTTCATCCACGTGGCTCAGGTAAACGGGCTGGGGGTCCTCAGAGGGACGGTGGTCCGCGCTGCCTGTTGAACTGAACCTGTTGGATTGAGAGGAAGTAACTCCAAGTGTTCTGTCCTCCACAGAAACTCCGAGCCCTGCAAAACTTTAACACTCTAATGGCGGTGACCGGAGGCCTCTGTCACAGCTCCATCTCCCGCCTCAAGGACACCTCTAACCTGCTGCCTCCCGACATCACTAAGGTTAATCAGATGCTTCACCACAAGGACTTCACCATCGCTCTGTTCTTTCTTGAATCCTTCTCATTCTGGAACTGTGACAGTGTTGGGTCTGTTGTTTTTGTCCTTGTGTGTTGAATATATTGCATCTATTTGACGTTTACACCAAGAAAGTTGTGTTTCTGTCCGTAAAGATATGTCTCTGTATAGTTTAGCCGTGACTGTGAAACTAGTGCAGCATGTGTGCAGGTTTCAGATGTCAGTTGAACACGTTATGTCAGGGGGAGGATCATTCAGGTACAATAGCAAATAGCTGGAGTACTATTTAGTACAGGTTTCAATTCTTGTTTCCTTTTGGGTGTCACCGCTTCTAACATCCCTCTTGAAGTTGCTTTGTCTTCTTCTTTTTCTTTTGTTGTTGGTCTTGCTTTTTAGTTGTAACAACACCATTAATTTGATTATTTTCAGATCAACTAGAAGGATTCATTTGACTTTGAGTCGTGACTTGATTTGGACCTAATCCCTGACACTTTAAAACTGTAATTACCTTTCACCCAGGCCTAAAGATAAAAAAGCACGGTAAAGAAACACTAATCATTTCACCCAGTTCACAATTGGGCCTCACCATGTAGACAGTTGTTTAGAGGCAATTGAAATGCTTCCTCTTTAATCACCATCTTTCAATACAGTGTTGGGTTTGGACAAAGTATTTACAGGCTAAAACAATTAAGACTTTTTGCAGAAAAATGTTGTTATTAAGCCCTAAATCTGCAAAGACAAATGGCTGCTGTCTCATGCGCGGTTTCTCTCGGGATCTGCACCCTCTTTCAGGCCCTGAGTGAGATGACAGAGCTGCTCTCCTCGCGCAGCAACTACGTCAACTACCGGCGGGTTTACAACGTGTGCAGCGGCTTCAAGGTGCCCATCCTGGGCGTCCACCTCAAGGACCTGATCTCGCTGAACGAGGCTCTGCCGGACTACATCAACGAGGAGAAGATCAACCTGAGCAAGCTGGAGCACCTGTACAGCAACATCAGCGACCTGGTGGCCCTCCACAGCTGCACGCCGCCCTTCGAGGCCAACAAAGACCTCCTGCATCTGCTCACGGTACCACGCGCACACCGGCAGAGCTTTTTTCTGAGGAGATCCCATGAAAGAGATTGACACGAGGAACGTCTTCAAGCGGTGTTCTTTTGATGTTTCAGCTCTCTCTAGATTTATACTACACCGAGGACGAGATATACGAACTTTCGTACACCAAGGAGCCCAAGAACACCAAGATCCAGGTCAGTGCAGCCAGATTCTGCTCTCTGAAGTTGGGCTTTATCTAACACCACCCGGCTCGCGCTCGTTCAACGTCTGCTCTCAAGGGGTCGAACACTTGGTGTGTGGGCGTAACGTCTTTGGTTCAAAACAAAAGCGCAGACTCGGAGCTGTAACACATCAATCGGCCACATCAAAGCCCTTGTGCGTTAGAGAAGCGTGTTATGTGGTGGGCGTGCTCCCCCCCTCCCCCCTCCCCCGTTTGTCTCGTTTCTCACATATGCGGCCCTTTAGTGTCTCATCAATGCATCTGTCGCTCCACAGCCCGTCGCTCCGGTCAAAGCGCCCGTAGTGGCGGAGTGGGGTTCAGGGGTCACGCCCAGGCTCGACCCCGACACCATCTCCAAACACGTCAAGCAGATGGTGGATGTGAGTATGTGACGGTGCAGCAGCCTCCCGCCTTCTTTCACTTCCGTATTACTCGGTAGGCCTAAAGCAGAACTAAACCAACCGCTCTGTGACAAGCGGGGATCTGATTGCTCTGTCGCCCCCTGCAGTCTGTAATGAAGAACTACGACCAGAGCCAGGACGGTTACATTGCACTGGAGGACTTTGAGAAAATAGCATCCAACTTCCCCTTTTCCTTCTGCACTCACGAAACAGACAGGTGAGAAGGCCGCGACCGCCATGACGACACAAGATGTTGGATGGTTTACGGACAGAAAGAAGAGAAAAAAAATCTCACTTTTTGGTGTCGCACTTTAAATAAAACAAACACGTTTTGCGTACAGGGAGGGACAAATCAGCCGTGAGGAAATCACCTCTTACTTCATGAGGGGAATGTCCATATGTGCCAAGCTGGGCTTCAACTTCAACGCACACAACTTCCATGAAACCACGTACAAACGGCCCACGTTCTGCGAGACGTGCGGAGGCTTTGTGAGTGTCGGCTGTGCCCGTTCTTCTTTTTCTATTAATGGCCAACCAAGCTGAAATGTCACATGTGCCATGTCTGTCCTCTTGTAGCTGTGGGGAGTCATCAAACAGGGCTACCACTGTAAAGGTAAGACCACGCGTCATGTCATCCTGCAGGAGCACGGTTCAGTTCACCCATGTTACAAACCGCTCCATCCCACGGATCCTTTCGGTCCAGGGTTTTTTTGGAGATGTCTGCCGCATGTGTTTTCTGCTGCCACGTGTGGAAGTAGTTTGTCGCGTGGTGCTCGGAGCACTGAATCTACAGACTCTTTGTGATGTAGGTGAACTGATCCTTTCACGTAGCAGCGCTTGCTTTGAAGTCTCAACTCGTTGGGTTGTGTTTTCTTCTGTTCCCCTCAGACTGTGGGATAAACTGCCACAAGCACTGCAGAGATCTGGTGGGGATTGCGTGCTTGAAGAAACACAAGAACACAACGGGGTCCTGCCCGTGCACCCCGGGCCCCAACCCGAGGACCAAGGGTAACAGCTGGAGTCTTTCCTTTCCCTCCACCGTGCTGCAGAGCGAAGCGTTCCCTTTGAAATGACGCCGAGCCTTTGGCATCTTCTTGTTCAGGTTCAGAGGAGGAAGCCTTCGTATTCCCCCAAAGCAACGACACAGAAAACAACCAGGACGTGTGGGACCGCTCCACTCAGACGGATCCTGGAGTGTGGACGCCGGAGAAAAAGGACAAGAGGGGAAACCACCACAACTCGCCAGTGCATGCGCCACTGGAGAGAAAGGTGAGACAGAAACCCGAGCCAACTTCAAGGGGAGACGGGAGCGTCTCAACCTTTCCCGGTTTCATTTCATCACAAACGCTCGTGAGCTCAGCATCCACAGAAAAGGCTGGAGAGACTCCATGTTGGGTCAGTCCGAGGTGGAGAAGCAGCGCAGCAGTGATTATGCGTCAGGTGCTACTACAGCTTGGATGACTCACGTTGTTGTAGTTTTCCTCCAGATGTTGAGCATATTGTAAAACCTGTGTTACTGTTCACTTCTGCTGGCTTCAAGCCTCTACATGTGGAATCTTTCTAGGAGAACACCAGCTTTCAAATGATCTTGATGGCTTCAGTTTAGAGCAGTGAGTGTCAAACTGTGGGGCCTCTGCTGGGGAGCAGAGGTATTACAGGTGTGGCGCGAAGGGCTGGGGGAATTATGGGTTATTATTAATATTATAATTGTATCCTTTAATCCTTTATTAATCGCACATGGGGAAATTATTATTTGACCCATCCTTAGTAATTAAGGAGCAGTGTGCTGCTGTGAAGCACTGCGGCTTCAGTGTCTTGCTCAAGGACACTGAGACATGCAAACTATGGGATCAGGAATCAGGAAACATTTATTGCCAAAATATGTCATATATAAAAGGAATTTGACTTGGCGGTTGGTGCGTGACAGTATAACAAAAGACAACAAGACAGCAGTGCACGAGTAATAAAATAAAATGCTAATGCAATGGGTTAGAAGAATAAGGCTATGGGTTAGTTTAAAATAAGAGAATAAAGTTAGTTAAAAATTAAAAATATTTAAGAATTAAAAAATAAAGTGCACTAGCAAACAAGTGACAAAAGTGAGGAGTGAAAGCGACATGTGCAGAATAAAAGAAAGTGACCGGTGGAATGTGAGAGAACACAGCGAACCGCACTGTAAAACGTCACAGCCCTGTTTAGTTATGTCCACTTACTTCTCTTTAACTCAAAGAGCTCTGACACGTTTTAGATTTAAACTTAACTGTTCAAGTTAAAACTTACAGTAATGCTTTATGTTGACTTCTTTGAGATGTGTTTGTGTTTATTGAACCTGGCTCTTTAAGTCAGTTAAAAAAAAGAAAAAGACTGAAGTGAACCTGGCTGGAGTGGGGGTTTAAAAAAAAACAGTGTCATCTTTGTGATTGCACATTTTATTTGTTTTTGTCTGATGGAGCAATCTGGTTTACATTTTACAATTTTTTTAATTCTATTATTAATAAAAGCGCACATTGAGTCCCAAAATGACGTTATTTCAATAGAAATTCAGCATGGACCATTTTGTTCGATTTTTGTTGGGGCCCGAACATTTTTCTTCCTCCAAATTGGGGCCCGATAGAAAAGGTTTGAGACCCGCTGGTTTAGAGAGATGTCTGTCAAAGAAACAGAAAACACAGTTGCTTCACGTCTTCACAGTTTCACGTCTTACACAAGTAACGGAAAAATATGAATGTTAGGAGGAATAATTATTAGTTTTTTGTAGGAACCACTTTATTTATCATGATGCAAGAGGAAAAAATCTGTCGTGTTTGCAATAGAGATTGCATCGAGTTTTTAAATACAAAGGGGGGTATGGAATTTAATCTTTTGCTGATCACAGAATTACACTTGACGGATTGAAAAGCAGCATCTCTCAGGGCAACACAGAGCTCACTCGCTACAGGTTTCAAAGACAAAACAAACTCCCAACCGCCAGCGTCACTTTTCAAACGAGCGTTCTCACAAACAACCACAGCAAAGTATTCTCTCTTGAGTTCTTGAAGGACCTTCCTGATCGGTCTTTTCTCTGTGGCGCAGGTCAACACGCTGCCCCACCGAAGCCGAGGGTGCTCCGTGCCCGTCTCCTTCCTGCAGGAGAAGATGGAGGAGCTGCACCTGCACAGAGACAAGAGCCGAGAGCCGGACTGAGCGCTCCGACCGCCCACCTTTCCCCCGCCATGGACAGAGAGCCCCACAGGCCACCGCCTTGCCCACAAACTGCTGTTGAACCGATGAGATTTTAGTGGCCGTTGGCACCACGACACGGGAGGTTATGTGTACAGACTCCCACGTGTTTCAAGTACGATTATGACGTGTTATTTTATTTTTGTCAGTCTTGTGAGTTTCGGCTCCGAGCAACTGTTCCTGCTGTAACTTATGAACGCCTCACTTAAGAACAGGTGCCTTTGTTCTCTGGTGCTACGACTCAACCTCAGTCCATTAGGTCATCTACGACCACAGAAATGGGCTTGCTGGTCCTATTTACACATGCAGGGTAGGAAATAAACACTAACCATCGAGGTGGTCACTGTGGCAGCTATTTGACAACTCTGCTCATGAAGTTGGAAACCAAGCCAGCAAAACCATTTCAGAGTCGCAATTTGTTTGGTGATTTGAAGATGCAGACGTAATATGTCAACCAGTAGGTGCCACTCTGCGTATACTGTGTTTGACTTTTCTATTCCTTGGCAATGAAGCCATTTATTAGTGGCAATAATGGTCGCGTGACATTTCCATCTGGTTAGTTTCTTGAGCTTTCTGAAAATGTGCCATCACTTAAATGTCTAAATTCAACATTAGTTGGCAAATGTTGAGACTTTGGTCTCGTCACGCAGTGGAAGCACCATGTGAAGTTTAATCCACGATTGCTAAAGGTGGAAAATGTTAATTTCCTGCCCTGTCATCATTTTAGCTTTCTTTCAAGGTACGACTGCACTGGAATTATACTTTGTTTTATCCTATGTCCACAATGTCAATCGTGTTGGAGAGAAGATACACCAGCAGTGATAAACCATTCAGTATGTGTTGTGTCTGGTTTATTGGAGGGGGAAAAAAAAAGACCACCTCATCAGGCGTATACAATTGCATTTATTGTATAAAGACAAGAAGACAGCTCGGGTAACGGATCATTATCTGATTTTCATTTTTAGGTAGAAAACAATGGAGTTTGGATTTAACTACTTGACTCAATGAACAGCAATCACAAAGGGATAAAAAAACAAACAGAAAAAAAACTCCACATACAAACTACTCCAGAGTGGCAAAATGTTCAATCAAAGACTGAATTAAACGCTTAAATACTACAGTATCCACACCTATAAAAAAATGTCCCATACTGTTTGAAGCCTATTAGGAGTAAATAAAATGCGCTCACTCGGAAACAGAAAAATAAAGAGCGAAGACATAGAAAAGGGCTGTGAGGGTAAAAAGCATGCGTTTTGTTCTTTGTTAAGCTTCTCAAAACTGCAGATTCATTTAGGGCTCGCTGCATTTCTCATGGCCCGTCGCACTTTCACACTATCGCATCCTAGAAATATACAACAACCTCTTCAATCTGCAGGAAATGTGGAGTTTGCAGTTCAACAGACGCCCACATTAAATGCATAATAGATAACATTCATTAGATGTTTTGATACCTATCATCTACCATCGCAGTCACGGCGTAGAGCAAGACTTCATTCAGAACAAAAGAGACTACAGCAAACTGACAACAATCTGTGTGTACATTGATTGCTGGGAATGAAGGCTACGGTGTTAAACCAGACAGACGGTTATGGTCAGGGACTTATGGAGAGACCGGACAAAAATCCATTTGCTGCAGGGGTCAGTTTAGGACACAGGTGGACGCAGGTAGAGATGCAGACCGAAGCTACTGGGAACCAGATGAGCCTTGGCTGCCCTGTCCAGGGTAGCCGCCGTACTGGCTGTAATACTGGTTCCACTGGTTCTGGTTCTGGTAGTACTGCTGCCACTGCTGAGCGTACTGGAGGGAGAAACAAAAGCAGTGAGAAGATTTGGAATTTATACGCAACAGCATTTGATGTCAGATTACGTAACGCATATTAACAGGATTTTTCCATTTTTAGAAACGCTGGGTTTTCTAGAAAAAGGGCACGAAGGAATAATTAAAGCATTTAAAAATAGTGACTAAAAACGGTATTCAAGCAATCGGGGGTTGTTGCCTCGGCGCCTAGCGCAGATTCCAGAGGCCCGCTCACATCTTCCCAGCCCCTCTAAGTTAACCTGGCGATGTGTGAGAGGCCGTGGGTACGGCGCTCATTGCCCACCTGCTGATATTGCTGGTTGTAGCTCTGCTGTTGCGGCTGCTGTGGCTGTTGCGGCTGCTGCGGCTGTGGCTGCTGCTGTTGTGGCTGCTGCTGCGGTTGTTGCTGGTGGTGGTTGTACGTCTGTGCAGTGGAAGGTGTCTGGCTGTAGCTTTGGCTGTATCCGGGGTACTGACTGTAGCTGCCGTAGTAACTCTGGTTGTAGCTGCTCGGGTTGTAGCTTTGACTGTAGCTCTGGCCGTAGCCCTGGAGGAGAGGCAAGGGCATCACGTTAATTTACTACTAAAGGCAGTAAAGCCTTTTCCTCCATAAAAAGGGTTGAGTTTGTTAACCTGGCCGTATGCTCCCTTGTTGTAAGAGGCCGGGCGATTGTAGCTTCCTCCTGACGGCTGGCTGCGGTTATAACTGCCGCGGGCATCAGAGCCGCCGTCACGGTAGCTGCTGCCGCCCCAGCGGTTCTGGTTGTAGCTGCCACGATTGTAGCCCGCTGCAGAAACAGAGTGTCGCGATAAGAGATATGCACAACTTGACCGTCTTGTGTATCATTACGTTCGAGTCGAAGGTCCACTCACCTCCTCTGTACCCGCTGCCCCCGTCCCCGCTGCGGCTCTGGTAGCCGCCGCGGGATCCCTCGCGGTTGTCATACCGCTGGAAGCTACCGCCTCCGCGGCCACGGAACCCGCCTTGCCGGTTGTCAAAGCGTTTGTCCGGGGGCGGGCCGGCCTTGCGGCCCTCCTCATTGTACTGCTTCAGCAGAGTTTCGGCCTCGTCTTGCTGCAGCTCAGCGAACGTCACCCCCTCCAGGAAGTCACAAGCCTCAGGGAGAGTAAAGTTGGCTTAGGGAGGGACAGAGGTGACCACAGGAGGAGGATAGAGACAGCCCATCCAGCGAGAGACGGATGGAGAGGCAGACAGAGAGAGAGAGAGAAAGAGGGGGAGGGGGGTTGTAGTGAGGACCAGAGGACCCACACCACCAGAAGACAAAAGAAAAAAATAATTACAACCATACAGGGGCAATGGAAATCATTGAGAAACTATGTTCAGATAGATGAAAGCTGATGGCAGGGTAAAGGGAACAAACACCACCTCCAGGGGAACATGGAGGAAGCATTTGTTGAAGCAGACAAAGGAGAGCGAGTTCAGTAGAGGTGGGGAGAGGGACAAAAAAAAAAAAAAAAAAAGACAACTGGAAGGTTGGTGAGAAGAGGAAACTGCACTGCAAACCAAGGACAGCTGATGTAATGGGGTTAACTTCCGACAACTTCAGCATGTGACTGATTGTAAGTTTGCCATTTGGAAACATTCTTTTCAGGGAAGCAAATTGTGCAATTAGCTCTACTTTTAGATCGACCTCGTCGAGGCCCCACGTCTCAGTTTGCAGTGCATTAGAATTAAGCTGGATGGCGAGTGGCGATAGAGAGCAAAAATAAGGAGGAATCAAATTCATGTGGACTGAAAAAAAAAAAAAAAAAAAAAGTCCAGTTCTGATATCTGACCAAAGAATAGGATGGGGAAAGGAGGGGGGAGGGGGGAGGGGGGCATCTTCCAAGATTGATTTTAGAGACAACACATAGAAAAGTCAAAAGTAGATCTGGTGTTTTGTTTGTTGTTTCCACAGCGTTCCTACCTTTCATTTCTAAAACAGCATGATCGGGCACATCCTTCCCCTGCTCATTGGTTTGCTTTAATGTTCGTTCTTTTAAATCCTCGTCCGTGGGACAAATTACAATAGCCTTGCGTTGAAAACCTTCAAAAGGACGCATTTTTCGTCTCCTTGCTGATCCATATACATTTGTCTAGCAATGGTGACAAGAAAGAAGTAGAAGCTTGTTTGTTATTGTTTACTTGTTATGGCTTTCCACTGGAAGGAAGCTGGAACCCTGCAATAATGAAGTGAGAGAGGTTTGTCTTGGATGTCAAGTCTACGCTTTTACTCAACTTCTAATGGCCTCTCGTCACTCCACAGACTTACCTCACAGGCGGCTCATTCAGGCGTCACGTGGCTGCTGATGAATGTTAGATATGGACACACACACACACACACAGGGACCCCGCAAATATCTAGCCTGACCGTACTGAACATTTATAGACAATACATAAGCATGGTGCCGATTCTGTGTTCCTGCAGTGACGGAGTAAAGCTTTCCAGCGTGAGCGAATGCCGATGGAGGGTCTGGGAGCCGATTGTCCCCCAGTTTATTATCAGGCATGATAATCAGTAATGCCAAGAAACTTTCAGGATTGGAATGACAACACAAGGCACAACTTGCTCTATTAACGCATCCCTTAATTCAGGATTAGGACCAGAATGTGAGAAAAACGGGGAACGCGAAAACGTTGAAATGCAAATTATGGCTGCCATTATTATCTGTACACGCAGAGGCTCAAACCGTTTGCTTCAACACATCTGAATCTACACGGGGAATCAAAACAATTCTTAATTTAGAACAGGACGTTAGTTACAAACACTTAAGGCTCATTTACAGGTGAGATTCTGAATTCAAACTCCCATCCAGCTTCAGTACAAACGGATCAGAGTAAAGTTAGCGTCAAACTGTCTTGTTACTCATAGAGAGGACTCCCCGTCACCACCGCTCATCACTCAACAACGTTTCTGAACGGACCCAAAACACCGAGAGCAGACCAGCAGATAATCCTGTTTTTGCATAGAGACAACATGGTGATAATAAGCCAGCAGGCTATGTGCAAGTGGCGCAAAATGTTGTTGCTCTCCTTCCATGAAGATCAGCAAACCGACACTCAGTTTACAGAGAAAACAACTCCTTTCTGAACCGACGCTCCACCAACAGCAGCTAACTATCCTGACGGGGTCCCAACACTTACCTCGACTTACCTGATCTTCATACGGACTCTAGTCCCGAACAAGACAACAGATAGATATAACCTACCTGCACATACTCACAGTTTCCCCAGAAAAGAAAGTCCGCCATCTGACCCACCTACCTTTTTACACATTCGCTCAACAAGGATCTAAAAATCTAAAAACTGTTAGTCTTTACTTACCTTTGGGGTCAATTAAGTTAAAAACACACTCAAAAGTTCCAAGCATCTCACTTAAAAATAGCTTTAAAAAAAAGCTAGCAACTCTGTCTTATTGAAATTAGCAACGGAAGGTGTTTTTCTTACTCACCAGTCAGAGCTTACTTGTTTCTCAACATCTTTACATAGTCATGGTTTACTTGTACATTGTTGAAATTCACAGGACAAAACAATACTGTATTATGACAAGAAATAGCAAGTGCAAATATACTGAGGGATGAAAACATGAAATATTCTGTCACTTGTGAGAGCCATTAATCATTCACTTTTAGAAAACATGACAAGCAAAATACAAGAGGGTGATCAATGCTTCTTCTACTCTAAAATACACAGAGCCCCCCTGAAAGATAAATAGATAGTCCATTAGAGAGAGTGATCATCAGGGCACATTGACTGACTGTGGCGAGTATGAGGGCCCAGTGTGGGTGGGGGGGCAGTACCTGATCTAGGATGTAGTTGCGTCTCTTGCGGGCCGCAATCTCGATCAGCCGGTTCAGACACTGGGTGGCCTGCTGGATCAGAACATCCCAGCGGCCAGAGTAGTTTTTCTGGCGACGCAATCCCATGACCTGCAGAAAGAAAAGCCGTGGAAGACCACGATGGGTTGCAATGTGTGAATGAGGAGGGGGGGTTACGCCCCAACACACCAATAAATGGAACATGCTATTTTCAAGGCAAT